TTTTTTAAAGATTTTATTTATTTATTTGAGAGAGAGAATGAGATAGAGAGCATGAGAGGGGGGAGGGTCAGAGAGAGAGGCAGACTCCCTGCTGAGCAGGGAGCCCGACGCGGGACTCGATCCCGGGACTCCAGGATCATGACCTGAGCCGAAGGCAGTCGCTTAAACAACTGAGCCACCCAGGCGCCCTGAGAAATTATATTTTTAAAGAAAGAAAGAATAGGAAAATATTATTTGGGGCCTTGTGACAAATTCAGTATTAGAATTGTAACTAACCTGCTTAAAGCATTCATTTAAATATCTTTCCCAAAGTATTTAATAAATTTGGGTCATAAGCTAATTTTTACTTTGTGGTGATTTTTCATCTATTTTGCCTATACCATCAGAGTAAACCCCCTAAAATAGCCTTTTTATCTTCTCAACCTGCTGGTCAACTGCTAAGTGGCTTCTTTTTCCCTCCAAATATGGAGTCCCTCGTCCTTCGTGGTATTCAAGACTTGGTTTTTCAATCTTTAAAATCTTGTTTACTTTAAAATCTCGTTTGAGACTGTGCCTTTCACATTGCCATGACTTATTCTCTTTATTGATCTGTCTTCCTCCACCTTCTCCACGTATCTGGATAGGTAACGCAGTCATCTTCACTCTGCATTACTCCAATCACCTTTAAATGTCCCTCGTGGATTTCATACTTCTATGAAATGTGAATGGATCCTGTGCGCCTCATTCTGTCTCTGGGATGGCAGCCACTGGAGCTGGGGCTTAGGTTTCTGACAGTCTTCCTTCCTGCCTGTTTTCAGAGTTCTCTTCTTTCACGGTTACTATGTCTCTGCTGCCCAATCCCAGGATTTTTGCTATTCCCTCTAACTTTTCCCTGGAAAAAGTTCATTGTATCCTGGAGACCTAGAACTCATTCAGACTGAGGTGAAAATGACTGATAACAGAGTCTGTATTGTGTCAAGGGCCAAAGCTATTTGGTGAAAGAATGAAATACTAACCATGGCCTTTCAGCGTAAAGCAGAGCGTAAGTGAGGGCAGGCTTTAGGACACCGGGCACTAAATTCATACCACAAACACATCACTTTTATTCTTCCAGCCTGGTTCATGGAATGGTACAAATAATGGTTTTTAGCCTACACTGTTCTGTTGTAGCTACTTAATCTTGAGTAATCACATGTGTCTTATTTAAGAAATGTACAAATATTTAAATATATTAAACAGATTTTCTGTTTTTCATGTATCAATATTCTCATCACTATACATCAGCCATATGCTATCTCAATGATAAGTTTATATGAGAAGTACCTAAAGCATATTTTTCTTCAGACAATTTCTGTTGTTCTATCAAAACAGCTTTCTCAAAAATTATTGACTTCACCTCAAAAATATGATGCCTCTCCTTATTAGTTATTATGGCCTTGTTTTCAGCATGTTATTTGCACAGGGTTATGGTGCAAGGTAGAGGGTGAGAAAGAATGCAGAACGAAGCTAGATCCACCAATGGATGGAACTGATTGTGACGCTGGTAAGGTAAGTCATTTGAGTCGTCTGAAGTTAATTAAGAACATGGAATGAAACTCAAGAAACTCGTACTTTCTTCTGCCAGTTATATATGTATCCATCTTAATACCAGTGGAATACCTTCAGTAAATACATAAAAAATTTTCAGTATTTCACTTATTTTCAATTTTAACTTTTATATTTTACCAAATCTATGGTTGTTTTGTTAACATAAATGCAGTTTTTTTATTATTGTTGCTTATGAGAACATTGAAAGATATGTGTATCACTTTAACCAAAAAAATGAATTTATTTTTAGTATTTAAGTTAAACAGAGGTAAATAATCACAAATAATAGCATATAGTCAAACTTCCAGAGCTAATGAATCCTTTCAGTTATAAAACATTGTCTCAGAAAAGCCACTGAGTATAATTTTTCCTTGTCATTTCAAACATCATAAATAAAATATTCTAACTGACATTTTGAAGATTAGTAAATATTTGGCTGAGTTGTTTAATATGTTTCATAAAGTTACAGAAATATTTATTAATACACATTTCCATATCACAGTAATTGCTGTTGAAAATTAATTTTCTTTTGATTTTCATATCAAAATTATTGCTGTTGAAAAATAATTTTCTTTTGAAGAATATGAAGGAGGTAGATTCCATCTAAATATATAGCCATAGTTAAACTTACTCAAAAGATAACAGTTCAGTAGCTTACATTATTTTCTAATGTTTATTCTGTAAAGAGAAAGCAGAATGGTTAATCACTTTACTCATTATAGATATAAGATCAGACACCTTGCCTCTGAAGAACATATATGTTTATTACATTTAAAAAGAAACAACAACTTAAAGCTTACTTGGAGTGAATTACTTAATGAAAACAATGAAGTTATATAGAATGCTAGCTTAAAAACACATTGTTTTTAAAAATGAACATTATGGAAATTCAGCCTTTCCACTGCTAGAATTTTGTGCAAAGGAAATGCACGTCTTTCACAAAGACAGATGTGTGTGCATGTAAATACACACACACACAAGTACTTATGTAAGGATGCAATTTGCAATGATGAGCATGAGAAACAATGAAAATATTCATGATGTGGAGAATGGTTACAATGTAGCTGTTAAAAGAATGAGGTAGATGTATACATACAAACTGAAAAAATCTAAAAGACATGATGATTAATATGTAGGCATGTCAGAAAAATTAATACTTTGATACCCTTTGATATTTACCAAAAAACCAGTTATGAATACACACATACATTGTATATATTACTAAACTCCTAGAAAATGGTTTGAAAATATAAACTCCAAACTGTAATTAGTAGTTAGCTCTTGAGAGGGAAGTGGGATTGATGGCTGAAAGCAAGGGTAGCTGAGGGTAAATAAAATTATTTTCCCAGACACTTTTGGGTTGTTTGACATAATCGTGTCATCATTTATTACTTCTATGATTTCTCTAATTAAAAAAGAAAAAATGTACAAACTGTTTAAGTACAAAATATCTTTAAGACTAGAAATGTTTTATCACTAGATACAATCAACAGAAAAATGTTTTCTGGAAAGGGAATTTCTGTGAATTATCAGCCAGTTGTTTACAGACTGTGCCAGATGTTTTTCTGTGAGTTTATATGGAGAGTCAGAATCTGGGTTGGTTTTATTTATTTTTTTAATTATACACAAAAGTACAATAATGTGTGCGTATTGGGCAAGCCTCACAGTATTATGTTGAGTAATTTATTGCTGGAATCATAAAATTCTCCCCCAGCTATAATTTTTATCTTTCCTGAAACATGAAAACCCTAATAAAGAAAGATAACCAACTATTCAGCCGTATTTCTTCAAACATCACACAACCCATTCTTCTTAGTTCTTTAGCAATATAAAATCCCTTCATTTTTATAAACTGATGTCCTCAGTATTTTTCTGCTATTATTTTTTTCATCTGATATTTATGAGAATGATTTGCATTCTTGAAGGTCTCTAAAATAAACTTAATTCTTTTAGCCATCAAAGTTGTAATTGCTCATCAAAAGTAAAATGTTTTTATTTCCCTCTAATTGTGCTAACAATATTCTTTTAGCGGTTCTGTAATGCTTTTGTATTGAAATAACTAATGGACTTCTCAGTTCCTCAGACCAGGTGGGCTTCTTCAAATATCCATCTGTTCCTGCTGTTCTAGGAGCCATTATGAAAATAGTTTCCAAAACTCTGCTGAGGAGTGCTGTAGTGTTAAAATATTTGAATGCTTTCAACCTCACACAAAACGCTGCTAGCCTGGTACACTGCAAACCAAGAAACAAAAAGGGGAATTTTTTTACAATTTGTTACAAGATTGTGTAATTTTGTAATTTTTGATAGTGTAGAGTGATGTTAATCTAGCTATATAACTAGGTCATCTAGGAGTGTATAATTAAGTCTGAGAAGGTGCCTACAGAATTTTATGATTCAAAATAATTGTAAAGATAGGGATTTATCTACACTTTCTATATAGCCTTTTCCAAATTAAAAGCAGCCTTTTTCTTTCTTCTCTTCTTTTTATAATTCTATCACCTATGTTTACATCTACGTTTAACAGATGCTAAAGAGTTGGTAAATGATGTAGTAAAACCCAAGAAATCTATGTTTTTTCACTGACAAAACCTGCTAGGAATTGGGGGAGGGGAAAGGCAAGTTAAATACAAATTTAATAAAATTTTAGCCTGTTTTGAAGAATTCTACGTAATATATTTTAGTTATTTACTTCCCTAAATTGAGATTCTTGAAATTTACCCTCATGATTCTTTATTGAAAATATAATGACTGTAATATCCTTACACTCACACATTTGCATATGTAGAGAGTTTATTGCCTTTTGTCCTCCTCTTCTCTCATCCAACAATGTATGTACAAGAAGATTTGATTAGACAATGATGTTCCCTTTGTCATCTTCACAGACCTCTTCCAATCTGATGTTTTCATGAACTCTCCAGACATGTCCACATAGAAACTTGACAGAATGGAAATACAGTCAATTTTTTAGATCATGTACTGTCCCAGAAATAACTTATATTTTATATTTCCTTAGCATTTTCATAAATCAGACTGAATTAGTAGATATGACAAATTTTGTCTTTTTAAAACCAGGTGTAATATCATTTTTGGGGGGCTCGAAAATACAAATGAAGCAAAATATGCTGCCAGAAAATATATGAAAAGCATCATTAGGGTCATTTTATACATAAACCGAATGGAATATATTATATAATAATTTAAACAAAAACCAAATGGAACAAAACTGTACTATAATTTAAACAAAACATTTAACACTTCCCTCAATGTTGAAGTACAACACCAACTAGAAGACACAAAGGCAGGTTCTCCCTGGTTTCATCCAGAGATCTGGTTCTCTGCAAGGTGATGAACTTTAAATACTATACTATGCTTTCTTTAAATTTCACTGGTTTCTGTATGCAAATTTAGCTTGTAGATCTGTCTCTATTTCTCTTCATCTGCCCCATGTGGTCTGGTTTAAATGATGTGCAAGCCCAGATGCTGGTCTTTTACAACATATTTTTAGTCTGCTGTGAATGCTAGCCCAGCCTTTCAACGCCAGCTTGCTGCTAAATGAGCAAAGAGCTATGATATTCACAACGGGAAACATAAACACCCTTCAAGTAGGCCAGAACGATTTGACCAACTGAAGTTTGACAGTTTTCATGTTGGATTTTTTTTTTCCATGAATGGCATTAGATTGTTAATCCTTAACGCCAGCAAATTGTTTAAAAGGACATGGTTTCCCCCCTTCTGCAATTTTCAGACTGAATCTTCACACAAAATCTCAATTTAATGACAATCTTCATACAAAATCTCAGTGTACTGCGCTATCAATACACTGAGTTGCTGAGATTTTTTTTTCAAGCATAGATTTAAAAGTTCTTGAAATCTGAAAGAGGTTGAATTTAAAATCTGACATTATTGGAAAAAATCTGCAGGAACTAATTATTTTATTGCCTAGAAAAGCATTATCTGGGCTCACACAAACCTATGTAGCATAGTTTTCTAAATTCTCTCCTCTAAAAACAGCATTTAAAAACCTAATCTCAAAATAAATTCTAAAGAGATATAAATCAGTTAAGATCAGAATGAATAGAATTTTGGTTAGACTTCTAGAAACTAATTAATGACATTAATATAATAGTACATACAATTTGTCATTATCATTATTAATTATTGTTAACTTTTATTAAGTTTAGTATGGGCTACGCACTGTGCTTAGTGCTTCATTCTACTCCTGCAAAGTCCATTAGGTAAATATGATTATCATTCACATTTTGAAATGGGAAACGTGAAGATTAGAGTGTTTCTCTAATTTCTGCAAAATCCCTTATAAATCATGTTGCTATTAAGTGCAGAAAATTGTTTAGATCTGGAAGGATCAGCTTGCTCAACTCCATCTACAGTCATTAATCTGAATTTTGCTAATATTTACTTATTATTCTCAACATGATTTTGTTCAGTTAATTTTACTTTTAACATGTTTGCCATGACCGTGATATATCTGATTTTTCAGAAATAAAGAGAAATTATTATAGTTTACCTTCCAAGTCTTGGCACCCATTCCTTGGCGGCCCCAGAAACGGCCTCTTCGGCTGCCTTTGTTTAAAGTGGATGAAAATATAAATATAAACAAGAGAATGAGTATATTCCTTTCTCTTCTTTCATGGTTATCTTTCTCAGTTAATCAATACAAAATAAGCTGCAGAATAAGTGGAAGGAAGTGACGGAATTTCATAGAATCCATTTGCCTAAGTCTTTCAAGTAAACGGCTTTCAAAAGAAAACTTGCTGTAATGTTAACGTTTATATTTGATGGGAACTCTTTCAGAAAAAAGAAAGAAGGCATAAAGGAAAGTGCTAAAATTAAATCATACTTTTTTTTTAATTACAAGGAAAGAAAACCACCAACATTTCAAATCACAGTTGCTAGGTTTGCCAAAATGTCTGCTTCACTCCAGTTATGGAAGAACATTTAGGTTTTATTTTCCATTCTGATGTATGACTCTGTGCTTTTGTCATTTGTCCGTTTTAAACTGTTATGTTTCTTAGACTGTGTTAGTTTTCCTTTGTGGCTGTGCCACCCCAACTTCCCTCTTTACCCTATCTCTGTCGTACGTACTGAATTCTCAGGGCTGTCCTGCGAATATGGGTGCGCTGTTTTCGTAACAAGACCATATGATCTGACAGGAGAACTGAGAGAACGGACCATTATATCACTATGACAAGAAGCAAATGCCAACTTATGTTTGGTCTTTTTCAATTTGTATGTGTGGGGCTCTAGGAGGCGTGATTTAATCGCAATCCCAGTGACTCTGTAAGCCAGTGAATGATTTTCCGTTGTGCCCTGATTTGTTCACCTAAGACATAACTTTTGGAATAGTGGTGTAAGGCTGGAGAATGTACCAGCAGGACCTCAGCACCTGGACATGTGGCCGGAGAGTGGAGCGAGTGGAGCCCCTGTAGCCGAACCTGCGGTTCTGGGATCAGCAGTCGGGAGCGCAAATGTCCTGGGTAAACGCCAAAGTTCCTGGATCGGGGGAGGGCATTTTTTCCCTCAATTTCCAAAGGCAAAGGTTTTACTGATAAACAGTGTTGGAAAGCAGAAGAAGCCCCTCAAACCCCACCCCATGTTGGGAAACAGAAAAATCCCTCAAATTGTTTAAATGATAAAAAAATCTCCCAAGAAGAAAATAAGACCACCGCTTCTAAGAACAAAGAATTAAATGTTGCATGGGGTGGTTTCTTGAGTAAATCAAAGAAACTGGTGTGTTTAAATGAGCAGGGAGACATGCATTAGAAAAAGTAAGTCCACAATGAAGGGACCTGTGAGAAGGCAGGAAGGTGATGGGACTTCAGGAAGGGAGGGAAGGAGAGCAAAATCAACATCAATATAAGTAAGGAGTGTTGAAAAATGAAGATGTGCTAAGCACGTGTGCAGATAGGGAGCATTTCAGGGTCCGCTTGCTCAACCCCATGCTTCCTAGAGTGATCCCAGGGAGGCGCGTGAGAAAATCATTTCAGCGTTATGCTTTTACTCTTGGTGTGGGCTCAGTGGCACGATTCCTTCATAAGCAGTTTTAAAGAAAGGATGTAAAAATGCCAAACGCCTTCACGGGAATCACAGGCTTTCTATTTTGCTCGCAGCCTCTGCCCTTTACTCTTCCATTTCCATGGCAAGTTGGCTTTTATTTCTCATGTGTTTTAGAAGTTAATTGATTGAGAATAGGAAATATATATATATATATATGGTTTTTTAATAAACATATGGATTTCCTCCCATTAGCAGTCATTTAATGTATCCACATTTTCAAAAGTAGATTTAATATAAAGGATTATACCTTATTAATTCAATGCCTTTTAATTTTTTTAAATGAGTAGTTAACATTAAAATAAGATAAAATTGATTATTTGTACTATCTCTTCTAGGCTAGGTTCTGAAGCAAGGGATTGTAATGGTCCCAGAAAACAATACAGAATATGTGAGAATCCACCTTGTCCTGCAGGTTTGCCTGGATTCAGAGACTGGCAATGTCAGGCCTATAGTGTTAGAACTTCATACCCAAAGCATGTTCTTCAGTGGCAAGCTGTCATGGATGAAGGTATGACAACCCACATCACCACCGTCTTAATTAAGTAGACTTCTAGATTTGCAAAATGTTTTACAGTAGTAGTCAGTATTATATAATAGATGATACAGATTATATTCTAAATATTTCAGAGCTCTCTTTTTTTGAACCCTAATGACCTATAATAATCACAAGCACTGACTCCAAGTATATATTTTTTTAAATGCAGAGTATATTATTACACACCAATTAGATGAACTAAAATTTTTTTTTAAAAAGTGACAATAGGAAATGCTGGTGAGGATGAGGAGAAACTGGATCTCATACATCACTGATTGGAATGTAAATGGTACAGCCACTCTGAAAAATAACTTGGTAGTTTCTTAAATAACTCAATATACATTTTTCATACAATTTAGAAAACACACTCCTGGGCATTTTTCCCAATGAAGTGAAAATTTACAACCATAAAAAATCACATGCATGAATGTTTGTAGCAGCTTTATTTTCAATAGCCAAAAAATGGAAACAACCAAAAAAGTTCTGAGTACCTGAATGGTCAGACACACTGAGGTATATCCATACCCTGGGATACATGCAACAATAAAAGGAAAAAACTATTGAAATGTGTAGTGACTTGGTGAATTTCAGAGCTTTATGCTGAGTGAAAAGAACCAATCTCAAAACATCAGATATTCTGTGCTTCCATTTATATAACTTATTCCATTTATATAACTTATATATAATATATTCTGTGGTTCCATATATATATGACAAAACTGTAGAGATGGAAAACAGAATAAAGGTTGCCAGAAGTCAATGATGGTGGTGGGGAAAAGGATAGATGGGTGTTATTATAAAGGGGTAGCATAAGGTAGAACTTTGTGCTGATAAAACTCTTAAATATATTGATTGTGCTGGTGGTTATAAAATCTACACATGTGATAAAATGGCCCAGAAGTATACACACACCTGCACCGATGTCCATTTCCTGGGTTTGCTATTGTACTGTAGTTACCAAAGTGTAACCACTGGGGTAAACTGGGGACAAGGTATATGAGATCTCTGTACTATTTTTGCAACTTCCTGTAAGTCTTTAATTATTTCAGAATAAGAATGTTAAGTAAATTATATGCTATCTTATTACTTAAGAATTAGTTAGGGGGGCATCTGGGTGGCTCAGTCGGTTAAGCATCTGATTCTTAGTTTCGGCTCAAGTCATAGTCCAGGATCAGGCTCCACGCTCAGCAGGGAGTCTGCTTGAGATTCTCTCTGTCTCTCTCTCTGTCCCTCCTGCTTGTGCTTTCTCTCTAGTAAATAAATAAATCTTTAAAAAAAAAAGAATTACTTAGAAATAACTTAATAACTTCTTTACTTAAGATAGTTCCTGCCCATGGTCAGTCAGTGAGCTATGGGTTTGAGCTACAGTTACCAAACATGGTGGTGAATTTTCTGACTTACCTGACCATCATGCCCCTAGTCTCTCCTGTCCTGATTTGGACTTAGTCAATTTGTACTGTGCTTTTCCATCATTTCAATAATATGCTTGTCAATAGCCTAAATTCCATTGTTGATCAATTTCAGTGCACCTGACAGAAACCTTCTCTTCATGTAGGCTTCTGAACACAGAAGCACTAATGTCAACAGCCAGATAACAAGGCAGATGACTCCACTATAAATACAGTAGTGTTACGTGTTTGACAGTGAGAGGGTGAGGAGGTAATCTGTTCCCTTCTCTTACCTCATGTCTCTTCTAGAACCTTGTTCTCTGTCACTCTGCACTCCAGATCTTGGCCTTGTTTGACTGCCTCAAACATGCCCTGTTTTCTTCCCCATGATGGCCTCCAAATGGACTGTTTCCTCAGCTGAGAGGAAATGATAAGCACAATCTTCTGTTCCCACTGTCCTCTTAATAAATGGCACTTCCCTCTTTCCAGATGCTTAGACAAGATCTTGGAGTCATCATTTTTTTTCTTTTCTTTTACTGTACATTCGGAATATCAGTAAGGTCACACTAGCCTTATCTTTTTTAATTCCAGTGTAGTTAAGATACAGTGTTACGTTAGTTTCAGGTGTACGATACAGTGATTCAGCATTTCCATGTATTACTCAGTGATCATCAAGCCAAGTGTACTCTTAATTCCCTCCACCTATTTCCCCCCATCCCCCGACCCACCGCCCCTCTGGTAATCATCAGTTTGTTCTCTAGAGTTAAGAGTCCGTTTTTTGGGTTGTCTCTTTTTTTCTTTGTTAATTTGTTTTGTTTATTAAATTCCATATTTGAGTGAAATCGTATAGAATTTGTCTTTTTGTGACTTATTTCACTTAGCATTATACTCTCTAGATCCACCCATGTTGGTACAGATGGCAAGATTTCACTCTTTTTTATGGACATGAACCTTATCTCTGAAGTACATCCAGAGTCTGATCATTTCCCAACATCGCCAGAACTCCTACCCTGGCGCAAGCCACCTTCTCTTCCCCAGTGATTGCAATAAGCCCTCTAACTGGTCTTTATGCCTGTGTTCTCCTTCAGTCTCAACAGCCAGAGTGATACATTTAAATTGTCAGTCATGTCTTGTTACTCTTCCATTCAAAAGCCTCTGGTACCTTCCCAGTTCGCTCAAAGTCCATATTCATTCCTTCTAAGGGAAGGACTTAAGGAGCTCTGCTACCTGGCTTCTTCTTACCTTCAGACTTCATCTCCACTGTTCCCTGTCACCCTTCCACCCACACTGGCTCCCTTGCTCTTCCTAGAATAAGTCCTAGTGTCTTGGAAGCTCTTGCTTTCCTTGCTGTGACATCATCTCCAGATATCATTAGGCTTCAGTCTCTCACCACCTTCAGGTCTTTTGTTAAACAGTAACACAGTGCCTTTCCTTTCCCTGCTTTATTCTTTTTTCACAGAACTCATCACCATCCGCCATAACGCTTTTGCTTTTGTTTATTATATGCCCCCCATAATTGTTGGAAGAGCAGGGATTATCCTATTTTTGCACTGCTCTATGTGTGGCATCGTCAACAGTACCTGAACAGAATAGGCACTTAATAAACTAGGTTGAATGAATGATGTGCCTTATAGGAATTTTCTACTGATCTGTCCTGGCCCCTCTTCTCACTAAACATTCTCCTTGGGATAATATTACTTTATTCACTAGGTTTTATTTATCATCTATATGCTAAAGGAACACAGATATTTCTCTCCAACCCAGATCTCTCCATCCCAAGCCCCTTCATTACTTACCCATCTGTTGCATGGACATCTCTACTCAACATCTCATTCTTTCTAACTCAACATGCCCCTTTCCTTTCTCTCTGCTTGCCCCTTTAGCTTCTCTCACCTCTTCTCCATCATTCCCTTCTGTGTTCTCCAGCACATCCAGACCAACTTCCATTCCATCCCTCATACACATCATGCTCTCTTAGATCTGGGCCTGTAAATATGCTAGTTTCTTGGCATAATACCTTTTATTTCTCAAGCTTTGTTCTCTCTCTCTCTCCCCTTCCCCCCCAACCCCGGCCTTTTATTTACCTGAAAAGTGCCTGTTGATTTTTTTTGGACTCAGTTTATGTCAAGTCCTCTAGGAAAAAAGAATCCCCCTGATCCTCCAAATTGGGTATGTGCTCCTTCCAAGCACCTCACAAGCACCCTAATATCGGAGATTTTAATGTTTCTGTATTCTATTACGTGTGTTTAGGGGACAGACTGACAGATATAAAGCTATTAAGCTTCTGATAAATATTTGTTGCATAAATTTTTGTTGTAGAAATGATGACTGCTCAAACAATGAAAATTATCATCTGATCCTCTGAGGATTTATCTTATCTCTGCCTCTAACTAGCTGTGGAGTTTGATAATATTAAAGTCATTTGAAGCCTGTTCATTCAGAAGTGAAATAAGAGAAAGGAAACAGGTTCCTTCCAAATTAAAAAAAAAAACAAACAAAAAAACAGGATTCAGCATTTCCATGTATTACTCAGTATAATTGTATGGGAGCCGATTTAAAATATTAAAAAAAAAATTAAAAAAAAAAACAAAAAAACGGGATTCAGCATTTCCATGTATTACTCAGTGTAATTGTATGGGAGCCGATTTAAAATATTAAAGCCATTGGAAATTACAATTTTAAAAGCCCCCACCTCTTATAAAGTGATGTCTATCATCAGAATGATCCATAATAAATATTTATATAATTAGTAGGCTAACCTTTTTTATAATTTTACAACACATATCCATCAAACACATCAGTCCATATGTTAAATAAAATACACAACAGTAGTCTTCATGTGTTACATGGCACTATGGGAGAAACTGAATATATGATTCCTTTAAAAATCCCAAGTCTTCATAGCATATGACACCTTAAATTGCAAGGGGCTATTTCTGCTATTCTTATGTAATACATGAATCTATGGCTAGGAAAATTAAATACAGGATATCAGTGCTGTAGTGAACAGTTATTTTTAGAGGAAAAAAAAGATGCATGGCTTTAACATTCAGGTATTTTACATACACTGTGTTGAGATTTGGCTGAAATCCATGTTTAATGCATATCTTGGAAAGGGTTGGTCTCTTAAATCAAGACAAAGCCTGCCTGCCAAGTAAGTACTGGCATGTTACATGGATCACTCTAATGTCACAATCTCAAGGGTATACTCCAGGAGGGAAGATTGGGATCAAATATTTATGTCATCTGTAAAGCACAGTGAATTGACAATATGTTGTAAAAGGAGAAATAGATTTTTATCTGAATTCTTGCTTGGAATGTGAATGGAATTTTCTAGATGAGCTCCTTTCCACATTATTCATATATCTGGTTTGCTCCTCTCTTCATGAAAACTCCATAAAGAGAATTATATATATATATATATATATGTACATATATATATATATACATATATGTATGTATAAAATATCACTTTTAAAGTGTTGCAATTATAACAGCTGTTTTTAAGTCCAAAGATATGACATAGTAAGCAGTCATTGAATAAACATAACCTACTTTGAGGTGTGAGAGCATACTGAAATGCTTTATTGCGGCTTATAATGGCATCTTAAAGGAAAATTTCAAAACCATGCACATTGAAGGCCATGTTCCAACTCCCCAGAATTGTTCAGAGCAGTATTCAGAAGCCACATGTGAAAACTGCTTGAAATGTTCAATTCTGAAGGCTCATTTAACTGTCTGTCTTCTCTTTGCAAAGTGATACCCTGTTCCATGCCTCTGGCTGTTATTTGGTATTTATAGACTCCCATCAGCTTACGTGGAACTTTACTGAAGACATAAGCAAAGATCAGTGTCAAAGACTGTAAACCATTTTCCATTCTATTTATATGAGCTTAATAAACAGTAAAGGGCCTGACTGGTATCAAGCCAGTAGAGTAGTAATGTAGCATGGAAATTGCTCTGAAGTTTCAGGTTTGGATAATTCTCCTACTGGTGTTACCAAATACTACAGTTCTTCTGTAGGACGCTTAGAAATAGAAACAGCCCTTTAAAAATATTTTGCCACTCTTGACTGAGCCTGATAGGCAAGCGTTTTTAACTCTACCCATCCTACCTTATTGCTTAATGAAGCACTGAAGAAGACTGCCAGCCATTCAAAAACTCTTTACCCAGAAAGGTGTCCCTCCCCCTAGATATCATATATGCTGGCGTGCTTTCCAAGGAAGCAATGAAGGGAGTTAAGTCCTAGATAGCCCTTCAGCAATTGTGCGTTCCAGTGGATGTTCTCATGGGATTGTGTTGCGTTTCTACACATCCTTGTAATTGAAGATCTTAGGAGAATTGCTCATCTCAGAAATTCTTCTTTCTCCATTTAGTAATTTTTCAATTAGAAAATGCCAAATGCATCGGATTGCAAATTCGTGTATGGGAATTTAGAAGTGACACATCAAGAAAGTCTTCATGAAAGAAGTAAATCTGAAATAGGCAGAATTCTCAGATGTACTTAAGATAAAGGGGAGTTCATTCCAAAAGATACGAGCAAGAAATGGTGGTGTTTGAAATATTTGGGCACAAGAATCATTGGTTTGTGTGGTAGAGGTAGAGGTTTGGGGCCAGAAAATAATAAGTGATACATTTTGAAAATAATCTGAAGACATATTTCTTAAGAAGGAGATAAATATTCATTGGACATCTATTTTTTCCCAGGCATCTTCTCATTTACTACTCATAATAACTACTCTAGAGCTACATTATTGCATTCACATCAAATTATATTTTTTCCTCGACAACTGTCCTGAAAAATAAAGCTTGAGATAAAAATATTTATGGAGTAACTTTTGCTCATTTTTTTTTTTTATCCACTCTGTGTGTAGAAAAACCATGTGCCTTGTTTTGCTCTCCTGTTGGGAAAGAAGAGCCTATTCTTCTGTCAGAAAAAGTGATGGATGGAACTTCTTGTGGATATCAGGGATTAGATGTCTGTGCAAATGGCAGGTGTCAGGTAAGACACTCCAGGAGGGAGACCGTATGTGCTGAGGGAGGCTTTGAGCAGCTCCACAGGGTGCTGGAAAGCTCTGCACCAAGATTCAAAAGCTGCGGATGGAGTCCTGATTCAACTGTCATCTTGAGCAAGTCTGATCTGCTTTGAAATTCCCTTCATGTGTCTAACGAAGGGTTTGTACTAGATAATCTGTAAAATCCATGACTAGCTCAAAGAACTTGAGATTTTTATTCTGGAATGTACATATTACACATCTAAAATGGCATTTTCTGTCAAAATATTCCAGACCCAAAATTCAAGTACTCCAGTTCTCCATATCTTGTATCCAAGGCTGAGCCATGTGGCAAAAACTTATAAAATCAGTCTTGTTACTCACTTAATATTACAGTATTTTTAACATACTGGAACCAACTGATTTTTAAATATATATATATTCAAATTTCTTTTTTTTTAAAATATAAATATCATTTATTAAGCATAGTTAAACATAGATTTTGTTTGTTGGTTTGCTAACAGACTTATTGAGATATAATTTACATAACATAATCATTTTTTTTATTCTTATGTTAATCCCCTACATTACATCATTAGTTTTAGATGTAGTGTTCCATGATTCATTGTTTGTGCATAACACCCTGTGCTCCATGCAGTATATTCAAATTTCTTAAAATGCTTCAACATTTCATTTGCTCTTATCTTTCTTTTTAAAAGCAGTCTCCATTTACTACATGCATTTATGCATGCTTCTTCATTTATCTTTAGAAAAGGAGAGTAAGTATGGACAGCATAGTGGGAAGATCAAAGGCTAGAACTTTAAAGTTGCTACTTATAATTCTACCACTATCTCAAGTTGGCTTCCCCCCTGGGAGATTAATAGGCAGAAAGATTAATGCCAAGTGTCTTCACATCACATGGATCAACATCCATGTTGGGAGGGGAAGAAGACAGGGTTGGGCACAGGGAGAAAGGGGGCTATGGTACAGTCACAACAGGACCTCAGCCCACCCTGTGAGGGGCATGGAAGCCAGGATGGCTCTTTAGAGTTGTCCTCATTTGTGGTGAGAAAACCAGGCCTTTTTACCCCTAACATCTAGCTGCAAACTGCACCAGGAGGGGGATGGGACCTTGGGAAAGGCAGTTTTCTTCAGACTAGGCAATTTCTTCCAAGGGCTGATGGCTGAGAGCTATCAGCTGATAAAGTGGGTGGGCACAGGAAGGAAATAAATCCCTTAGTTATGAAAGACGTATCTGAGTAGAGCAGCGCTGAATCCATGGCAGCCACTAAGAAACTATATTCTTGTGAAAATCACCTAAAATACGTATGCACACGTCAAATGAAGTTTTTAGACCTGTGGTCATTGACTTTTTTGTGCAATACACTCCTTTGAGAATTTGATGAAAAGTTTCCTTTCTTCCCAGAAAAATGCATGTCTGTGCACACGTGCACATACACAAGCGTGCGCGCCAAAATTTGAAAAGAGTTTCAAGGTGTGGGTGGATCAACCTGTATTCCAATAGAGACCTATGGAATTCTGGGTAAAAAGTTGGAAACACTATGAAATTTAAATGCTTTCCCAGCTCTCAGATTTTATATTTTGCCAGCATGCTATAGTTTTTTTTTCTTTGTTTTATTATGTTATGTTAATCACCATACATTACATCATTAGTTTTTGATGCAGTGTTCCATGATTCATTGTTTGCATATAACACCCAGTGCTCCATGCAGAACGTGCCCTCTTTAATACCCACCACCAGGCTAACCCATCC